GACTCTGAAGGCAGTTCTAGAACTCTCGGTCAGAGTGAAAAGGAGCATTTGTAATAACCAGAGGCTGAGAGTGTTCTGGACAGGTGTGGAGAATGGTGAATAGATTAGTTGGGCAGAAAGTTCTAGAAAGAGAAGAGGCTGGTGCGATGGCTCCCTTGGTGAAGCTGAGAGCTGGGTCCAGGCCTCCCTGATGAGTGGGAGGGACCTGTGAGCTTGGGCCCCCACCTGCTGCCCACCCCCGAAGGGTGTGCGTTAGCAGGAAGCTGGGAGCAGATGAGGGCTTGAAGTCTGGCACTGCAGTATGTGATGCAGGCGTGCCAAGTGGGGTCTTGTCCCCCACGCCACACACCCATCTTAACAGCAGGAGCGGGGCTGGACGGTCACCTTTTGAAACTGCGTTCTGCTGTGCATGAAGCGATTTGCACAGAGCCTGTCTCTAACTCTTGTGCTGTTTTTACAAGTGTGAGCAGCAGAGCCAGCACTTAGGTGTTCTAGAGTGTGGGAGGAGCGTTTTCTGATTTTGTGCCCCAAACCTATTGAAGTGTCATGTAGATAAAACTTTTTAAAATATATGAGAAACTCATAATATTCCTGTAGCCAGTTTCCCCATATTTTAACTTTGGGTGAAGTTATGTTAAAGTAGTTCCATTTTATGCATGAGTTTTTTTTTAATTATGTATGTATGTATGCACAGAGAATAGAGAGGGGGAAAGGATCTGCCCTCTGTTTACTTCCCAAATGACTGCGACTGGTTACTTAGGAGTAAAAAAAAAAACACCTTGCTTTTAAAGCTTTTGAAAGTAGCTTTTCATATTGACGGTTTTGGGCAATTATGTCAAATCTTTTAAGATATTTGTATTGTGTTTTATTTGAAAGGCAATGAGAGAGAAAGACTTTCCATCCTCCAGTGGTCTGCACTAACGCCCATAAGGGCTGGAGCAGGGCCAGGAGCTGAGAAGCCAGAATTCCATCCAGCTCTCAAGTCCTTGGGCCATCGTCTGCTGGGTGCGCATCCGCAGGGAGCTCCTGCAGGTGGACCCAGGCCTGAACCCTCAACTCCGGTACCTTGACGTGATGCGCAGCAGAGGCTTCTGGGCCACATGCTCACCTCTGTACTTTTTTTTTCTTTTTAATGAAAGGAGCATGGGTTGTTGCTGGGTTTTTTTTGTTTTGTTTTGTTTTTTGTTTTTAGTTGGGAAGGCAGATTTACAGAGAGGAAGAGAGAAGAATCTATCTGGCCACAATGGCCAGAGCTGAGCTGAGCCAAAACCAGGAACCAGGAGCTTCTTCTGAGTCCCCCATATGGGTGCAAGGTCCCAAGGCTCTGCTGCTTTTCCCAGGCTATAAACTGGGAGGTGGACAGGAAGTGGAGCAGCTGTGACAGAACCAATGCCCATATGGTATGCTGGCACTTCGCAAGGAGAGGATTAGCCAAATGAGCCATAGCGTCAGCCCTGGTTTTTTTTTTGTTTTTGTTTGTTTGTTTTTTCTTTCTCTTATTACCAAAATGACAGCTACCACTGTGGCGGGGAAAACCCACAAGCAAAAGCAGTACAGAAAACACAAAAAGGTGACAGTGAAAATCAGCATCACGTCCCTGCACGCAGCAGAAGCCGGTTAACACGTCCTGAATCCTTCAGGAATCATCTGGAAACTCGGTAGGCTTGTGCACGTGGCGGTCTGACACCTGCTCCAGGTTTTTAGCGTGTCTTTAGTGTGGTGGGTGTTTGTGACATCTTTCTTTCCCAACAAGTGTAGGCGTGTGCTGACATTTTGACCATTGCACAGCATACTCTGGTCAGGTTCATTAAAATAGTTTCCTGTTGAGGGACCCTCACCCAGTAGGGCATTTTTCAACTAAGATCTTAAACCGTCTTGTGTGGTCAGTCCCATGTGGCCGCTCAGTCTTTAGCTTTGTGGGACTCCAGAAATTGTAGAACTGACTTATGAATCTTTCATGAATCCTTGCAGTTCCTTTGCTGGTGTTCGAAGTTGGAATCAGGTTCCGGCCACAGTGCTGCTCTACTTAACCCTTTCTTAGAGCGCTTTGGAACGGTGGGCAGTCATTGTGGGACTTTGAATGAAAGTGCTGTATGGTCTCAACTTTTTTTTTCAACCTAGATTGGGAGGTCTGTTGACTTTGTGTGCAAGAAATACTAAGTTGGGCTGTGCAGTCCATATGTCTGTGTTTCATTCCAGGTTCTGTTCGGGATGGTAGGGACAGGGCCATCCGTGGAACTTTTGGGTTCTTGTATCAGACACATAAAACAGAATGCAGACAGCTGAGGCAGAAAACAGAATGTTCTTGAGACAGAACACTCAGGTTTACAGTTGCTGGCCAGACCAAGGAAAACAGCCTGGGGTTTATCTGATGGGACATTTTGTCGTCTGGCTCTTTGTCCATACTGACTGCTTTCACTTGGCAGTGTCTCCAGGACCCGTCCACGTTATTCCATCTCTATGCCCCACTCCTCTGTCTTTCCAGGCGAGATCCATTCTGTGGGTACAGCACATTTTTCTGCTGGTGCTATATGGGGTGTTTTGGCAGCTGCAGTGAATACCACTATTAAACAGTATGATTGGGTGCTGTGTGATCGCTTAATTAGGTAATCCTCCCCTTGCAAGGATTGGGATCCCATATGAGCACTGGCTTGTCCCAGTTTTACTGTAAGGCCCTCCTCCTGCTGACAGGCGCCCTGGGTGGCAGGTGGGTGTGTTGGTCATTTTGTTGTGTTCTCCAGCACTAGGTATGAACCTGGTTGCCTTTTGCAAGGGTGAGTGGTTTGTGGTTGATAATTCATTCATTTGGGTTTTTAAAGATTTATTTATTTGAAGGGCAGAGTGATCGGGAGAAAGAGGAAGAGCTCTTCCATCTGCTGGTTCATTTTGCAAAGGACTATAACAGCCAGGGCCAAGCCAGGCCAAAGCCAGGTACCAGGAGCTATGAATAATATAAAAATAATATAAAAATCACTGTTCACCTCTCCCCTCCTTTGCCCATCACTTAACACTTAAAATCTACCAGCAAGCTGATTGCTCTGCTGATTTTGCAGCACTGTACCCTGAAGTAGGGAGCCAGGAGCTCTATCCAGTCTCCTACGTTGGTGTGGAGGCCTGAGCCCTTGAACCATCTTCTGCTATGTTCCCATGCACAGTGTCCACTGCAGGCAGCTTCATGTGCTGCACCACAGTACTGGCTCCCTGGATGCCCATTTTTGTTTTAATTTTTATTTTAAATTTTGAGTTTTATTGTACAATTCTGTATAGTCTGGGAGATGCCCGATTTCTAATGCAGGACAGAACTACAGTTAGCTGTCCATGTCTTTCTTGATCATTTGTTTTCTTCTAATGGTATGACAAAAAAAAGGGGGGGGGGGAGGCTTTCCAACAGGGCCCGGTCACCTGTTTTAACCCTTTAGTGCCCTTCTGCTAGGTGTCACTGCCATCTGTCCCTGCCACTTCCGTGTCCCCCGTGGGAACCAGCCTGGGCAGCTCCCGATGCCGCACTACTGCCTTACGCCCCGTTGGGGCCAACTGACCATCAGGTTTTCTGGTTCCACTCAGTGTGCTGTAAACGTGCAGTTCCTGCTGGGCAGGGCTGTTCCTAAGGTTCTCCAGAAACAACTGAAATGATTCGAGAAGGCTGCTCCTCCTGGAGGCCAGCAGGCGCCTCCCCTCTCTATAAATTATGCACTTTGAAATGGACCAGCAGGCACTGGGCATGAATAATGGATACCTCAGCTCTCCTGAACGACCAGGCAGGTGCCCTGTCAATGCCACAGCAGCTTGCTGTGCTCTTAGGTCTGGTGGGTGGCCCCCAGTGTCCCCAGCAGTGGCCGTGATTTGGACTCTGTTACTCTGAAATCTTGCTTTGCTGTCCATTGCTTCATGCTGGCTGGGCTCACTCTGGTGAGGGAGAAGGTATTCAGATTACGCTCCGTGGCTAGCAGTGAGCTCTTCTATTTGGAGTTCCCCCTGCCCGGGCTCTTCTTCCCATGGCTGGCAGTGCCCGGCGTTGCCTTCCAGTCCCCCCCCCAGGAATCGCCGCTGACAGGGAGGTTGCGTATATCAAACCTCTTGCTGTTTCATCACCAGCCTTCTGTGTGGACTTGAGAACTGGAGTGTGCGAGGGGCCTGATGCAGGGTGCATGGCTGAGTTCACCCACTCCCACTACAGCCGAGTGGCCAGAGGCCCTTGTCCCTGCTGGCACTGCCGGGTTTCCCCAGCCTCCCTCGTGACCCACCAGCACTTCCTGGCAAAGCTCATGCCTTGACCCCGCATCTGCAGTTCTGTCCCTGGATGGCTGATTCCATCTGGCAGGGGTCCTGTGCGGGCAGCGTGCCTGCGGGTGAAGGTGACACACGGAGGACCTGCCATAACTGTTAGCGCTGAAGAATCGGACCTGAGGGTGTGTGTGTGTGTGTGTGTGTGTTAGTCACAGCACCAGCCCGAACCCCTAGGCGACTGCCTGTTCTGTGTGTAGGTACAGCCACGTTCTCCCTGTTCTCCTCTTCCACTGAAGCTGTGAGCAGCAGGGTGAAGAACTTGTACAGCCGCGTTCTGCAGGGTGCAGAGGTTGACGTGGGAGCTGGGAGTTCTTCCATGTGGGGGTGTGAGCTGGCTTCCAGACATCCAGGTGAAAGCAGGTGCTCACACCTGTGATTCGGATTCTCCAATGCTGGGAGTGATGACTTCAAATTCAAGGAGGAAAACTCGTGGAAAGACCACGCCCGGGTGGTCACTCCCGGACCCTTGAATCTTGCAGGTAGCGATAAGGACTCAAGAGTGGGAAGAAGAAAGCAGTGAGGGGTTGTGTGTCGGTCATCCTGGGGTTTACCTGCTGCGATTTTGGGCCGTTGTCCCGGATGAGGAGACGCCTGCACTCCCAGGGGCAGGAGTGCTCTTTGCTTCCTTTGAAGGGTCGACTTTTCCAGGACCCCTTTGCTGGGTGCATCGCGGTGCCTTCTGCTGGCCTGATACCTTCTCTGTCTCTCTCTAGGAAGTTATTTTGCCAGCCACTTCATCATGGGAGGAGAGAAGTTCGACTCCACGCACCCCGAAGGCTACTTGTTTGGCGAGAACAGTGACCTGAACTTCCTGGGAAACAGGCCAGTGGCGGTATGGCGGTAACCAGTTCCATCCCACTGCAGCTGAGGCGTGCGGGTTCCCGAGAATCTGACACGGGCTGGGCGGAAAGGGGCTCTGGGAGCCAGGCCCTGGAGGTCTGGGTGCTAGAGGGGACCTGCCGAGGGCTCTTGGAGTGCAGGTCATCCTGAGGTCTTTGCACCTGCTGCCCTGCCCCCAGGTTTCCACTTTCTCCCTCACAGCACTTGCCAGCACACTTTGGCTTGTCGCTTTCTGTTTTTGCTGCCTGCCTGCTGCCCTAGAGTGCCAGTCCCATAGGGTGAGGACTACTGCACTGTCCTGTGACCGACTTGAAGCAAGGCCTGGTACCTAGGGAGCAGCCCCTCAGAGTGAAGAAACCCCTCAATATCCAAGCCTGTCTCCCTCAGTTCTTTGTTCAGCCCAGCATGCATCTCTTCTCTGTCCAGCATGAGGCCTTGGTCAGTGGCTGCCATGATGCTGCTGTGGGGCTGCCATGTGCCAGGGAAGACCCCCCCGGAGACAGGGAGGGGCCACGATGAAGCTGATGCCGTGTGCCATCCCAAATGTTTTGTGAAGCCAGTCGGCCTGGCTGCCCATCATAACCTTCTCACTGCCTCCGTCCAGGAACTTCTGGTTAGCGGGGCCGGCAGAATGTACAAACGGGAAGCGGCTCCATTCATAGTGACAATCTGGAGTGACCTGCTTGCATAGGGCTAGAGAGTGGCAGAGAAGGGTGGGGCAGGTTGAGTGGGACTTCGGGAAATGTCTGCCTTCGGCCGGGTCAGGGGAAGGGCTCTCCCAGAACGAGGCCCAGTATGCACGCCTGGGTGTGACTCGCAAACATTTGCTGGGTAACTACCCTGTGCCAGGTGCAGTGACCTACACTGGGGCCGCGGGGCTGGAATGAGCAAAACGAGTGAGGGAATCAGCCTGGCCCAGGGCAGAACGCGGTGGGAGGGCAGGTGTGGCGCCCTCCTGTGGGCTGTGGGGAGCGGCCAGGAGAAGGTGCCGCTCTAAGGAACACTGGCGATGGCCTTGCCTCGTGGGGTTTGTGGGGTTTGATGAGAATGTAGCTTTGTTGTCATCTTCCTGTTCTGCCTGGGGAGAACTCTCTTGCCCTCTCCACTGATGCTGATGCTTCCAATGCACAGGTCCCTTCGGCTTCAGACCCAGTTACCCGACTAACTTCTCCTGGGTGCCTTCTTGGTGCAGCCCCAGGACCTGGGACTTAACGAGATCTTTCTTTGGGGCCAGTGTGGTGACAGTACGTTAAGCTCTCACATGCAGTTCCAGGACCCCATATGGGAGCCAGTTCAAGTCCCAGCTGCTCCACTTCTGACCCAGCTTCCTGCAAATGTGCCTAGATTGCAAATGGCTCAAGTGCTGGGGCCCCTGCACCCACGTGGGAGACCAGAGGAGGCTCATGACTTGGGGCTGGTCAGCCCTAGCTGTTGAGGTCAGCTGGGGAGTGAACCGGCAGAGATAAGATCTTTTGCTCTCTTCTTTCCCTCTTTACCTGTAACTCTGCCCTTCAAAAAAAAAAAGTAAATCTTTGGGAAAAAGTTTTTTGTTTTTGTTTGTTTTTTTTTTTTCATGTAGAGCCAAGTGAGACTTTGTCTTTCCTGGGAAATAGCTCTTTCCCCTGACATAAACTTGACGTTTCATGCTTTCTTTCCTTTCCTTTTTTCTTTCCTCTAATGTCAGATTAGCTTGTCTATTTTTTTTTTTTCCCAGCTTTTTCAGGCCATGATGGTGATTTTGAAAAAATAAGTTAGTACCTCTCTGGGTTCATGTTGAGGTCTGTGCAGGCGGACCTGCCCAAGCTGTGGTGGCCGAGCTCACCCCGAAGCACGCTCTGAGGGGCTGAGCTCCTCCTGTGGTGCCGAGCAGGAGCCTCGGGGTAAGAGCCGACACTGGTGTTTCAGTGGCTCAGAGTTGCACTCAATGCCCGCTTGCAGAAGGCATCAAAATTCCACATTAAGGAAGCATGTCAGAGACTGCACACATATGCACACAAACAGGTACATGCACATATACACGCACACACGAATAGGCACAGACACAGTGCATGCACATATATACACAGAGACACAGATATGCATGTGCACACGTACACACAGACATACAAACAGGCATAGGCACACACAGGCAGACATGGACACACGAAGAGGCACACATACACACAGGCAAACATGGACACACGAAGAGGCACACATGTACATGCACACACATATATACATATATAGTACATACAGACACATGTGTACACACATGCACACACGTATACACACCTGCACACACACACAGGCAAACTTACTCTTGGCCCGACCCAGTGTACAGGGAGGAGCCAGTATGCATCCTTCCCCTCTCCCTGAATGTTCTATTGTGAGTGAGGACACCTCACAATCACAGCTTACTCATGCTGGATTTTTTTTTTTTTTTTAGATGAGGTTTACATAGTTGAGAAGGATACGTGAGCAGCTGGACCACTGATTAGGGTGGGAAGCGTCGAGGAATAGGGGAAAGTGGATGAAACCATTGTTTCCAATTTTCTTTTTCTTCTTCCTGCATGTGGGGGAAGTGGGAGAGAAGGGGAGAAGCCGCACCCAGCATCCTGACCACATCAGTACCCAGGGATGGGGAACAGCCACCCAATACCATCCCACCATCCCAGATGTGGAGCATGCTCTGAGGGTTCTGCACAAGCGGTTTCAGTAGTTCTGAAATGCTGTCGATTTCATTGATCCAAGGATGGTAAATCCTTCCAAGTCCATTGGCTGACAGTCCACCTTAGAGTCTCACCACCCAGATACTTGCTGTGGTCACTTGGCTGGGAGAGTTGTCCAATTTGTTCTGCCCTCCATCCTCTGCTATGGTGCTAGATGTCCTCTGCAGGCCCCGATGGACTGCTGTACTGCCTATGTGCATCTGGGCACCATCTTCAGCAACTGAGGATGCCCAGTTCTGACACAGGCACTGCGCGGTCAGACCACAGATCCTGCAATTCTCCCTATAGCTGGAGTTCTGAGTCCAGTGTTCCGTTAGGAAGGGTAGTCTCCAAAGAAACCTCGCCTGCCGTGTCCCCAGAGCTGGCTCCTGTGTGTGCTAGCCAGTGCACAGACCAGCTCAATCCATCCCCCACATCAGCTTACATACTGGTGGCTGCAGTTGCTGGGTCAGTTCTATCTCCAGCCCCATCTCTTACACATACTAATGGATGCTGGGTCCAGCTCAACCCTGCCCACCACACACTCAGCCTTCATGTACACCAGTGGGAGCTGCAGTCCAGTTGGAGCGACCTCAATAACCCTTGCCAGACCCGTCCCTACTCCTGGTTCCTGCGCATGCCAGTGTGAGCAGCAGACTGGTCTGGTCTCTCCCACAGCCCTTTTGCCTTTTGTACACACCAAAGAATGCCTCAGGCTGGCTCAGGCCAACTGACCTCACTATCCAGCCCACTTCCAGCCCTGAACCTTGCACTCTGCAGGTGGTTCTGCAGTTTAGTTTGACAGGACTTGCCCCCATTGCCAGCACTTGCTAGCTGATGGCTGTGGCAGAGCCCAACCAGCCTGTACTTGCTCTGAATCATGCATGCACCAGTGGATACAGTTGCTTGGCCCAGCCTGGCTCTCCCCCTAAATCAGTTCACATGCTGATCAACAAAATCAACGGGTATCGTAGCCCTGCACAGCCTGTTCTGCCCCGGTCTCAGTTCTCAACACACCAGCAGGAGTGGTGGCCCAACAGAGGAATTCTCGCTGCCGTACCAGGCTCACTCTCCACTCAGGGTCTCATGTGTGCTGGTGGGTGCTGTGGTTCAGTCTGGTATGGCCCACCTCACCTTGGCATTTGCTGGTGGGTACTACAGCCTGGCCCAGCCCACCCTGCCCCACGTTCCAGTTCATATTAATATGTGCTGCAGCCTAGACCAGCCTGGACTGCCCCTAGTCCCAGGCATAACATTATGGTTGGTGTTGTGGCCCAGTGTGGCCTGTGCTGCACACCACACAGAAACATCTTCCATCTTGCCTGTTTGCTCAAGTAGCCTCAATGACTGGAGCTGAGCCAATCCAAAGTCAGGAGCCAGAAGCTTCTCCTCGGTCTCCCAAGCAGGTACAGGGTCCCAAGACTTTAGGTCATCCTCTACTGCTTTCCTAGGCAACAAACAGGAAGCTAGATGGGAAGTGGAGCAGCCAATACATGAACTGGTGCCCATAAAGGATTTCAGTGCATTAAGGGTGAGGTGTCAGTGCCGGGCCACCATGCTGGGCCCTAGTCTTGATTCTTGTGCTCACCTGAAGGGACTGCATACTGACAGAGGAGTTCCCCAAGCTCCTCTATCAGGTCATCTCCATGTGGCAGATCTCATGTACACCAGTGGGCCCTTGTCCCAGTGTGACTCGACCCACCTCTTGTCCTGGCAGGAATAGAGGCCTTGTCTGACCCACATCCATTCTAGCTCTTGTTGGGTGCTACAGTTCAGCCATAGCTGCTTCACACCCAGACCCAATGCTTGTGTGGTTCAGTGGGTGGTGCTGAGACCTATCCCAGCCTGTTCTACACCTGTTGGCTCTCACATGCACCAATGGGTGTTGGAGTCTGGTCCAGTCTGACACCCCAGACCCAGTCCACACCCTGGAGCCAGTCCACACCCATACCGAGGTAAACTTCAGTTATGTCTAGCAATTAGTGACCCCCTTTCCAGTTCTCATGCTCACCAGCGGGAACCATAATCCAGCCGTAGTGCCCTGGTCTCTCCAGACCTGTTCCAGGCCTCTTCCCAGCCACAGATCACCGGCATGTGCCAGTGGTTGGTTGCTCTGACCCAACCCGGCTTTGCCATTCCCCTTTCTGGCCTTTGCCACTGGAATCTGTAGCCTGGTCTGGCCCAGCCTGCCCCCAGTCCCAACTCCCACTGGTGGGTGCTGCAACCTAGCCTTGTCCAGTCTGCCCCCGTCTCTACCTAGCTTTCATGCAAACTAGTAGGTAAATAGCCTAGCTTAGCATGGCTC